TTTACAATGAATATCTATTATTCTTCATCACTTCTTTTTTAATCTTCAAGCTTCTTTATATAGATGCTTCACAAAGATGACTGTTACAAATCCTTGAGCTTCTCTCACAGACTTGCTTCGTTTGTTTTCAATTTTTTTTCTTACAAAGAGAAGTGTATGTTGGTATATTAATTGCTTGTAATAAATTTGTTTCACCAAATTGTCACTTGTTGTCTGATTAAAGAAGTTACTTATCACATTTTAGGTACAAAACAGGTGGAGCCATGTGTGTGTCAGTTTAAAACAACTTTTTTTAGGATTTCCATAATTCAAGGGATTTACTTGTCTTTTTCTGATAAAAAACATGTCTTCCTTCTCTTTTGTTATTGTGAGTACTGAGGAAGCTCTTTTACTTTGATGTGTTAAGAATTCATATACACAAAGATTGATTTAGTTATCAAATATCTTAAATGATATGAATTCAAAATAAATGTCTTACAAATGAAGTGTTTCGTCTGTTAGACTTTTTATTTTAAGATAATGATCATTTTAGTGCATTCATTTTGTACTCATTCATCTTATTGAATTATCTGAATCTAAAAAAAAGTTTACTTTTGTTATCAACAAAACTTATAACTTCAAAGATTTAAAATCATTTTTTGACCTACCATTTTTGTTGCATAGTAATTGAACTATATAAATGTATTAACTTGTGAGGTCGGTACATTTTTTCAATTGAATTTTTGACCATATAAGGACAAAGTTTCAATTGTAACTTCATGAATTTTTTTTATAGAATTAATAAATAATAAAAAGTATATAATAATGAGTGCTATTAAAAATATAAATAGTTATCGAGTAAAATTTACATAAAAAATAAAAAAAAATTATAATTTATAAAACGATAATTATAAAGATAAAATTATCTACAAATATAAACACCAAATAATACAACTTCATTTATTAATCTTTCCTCCATTACGCCAGTAATTTTTTACTAGACAGATCCACACGCGTGTATAAACTTATTGAAGATGCAATTTTCAAAAATTCAAAAAAGTTATGTATTAGTAACATTTTATTAAAATATGAATATACAGAAAATATAGAAAATAAAATTATCATCTAATTTATTATAAAAATAATATTTTAAAATATACAATGCTCATACTAAATGTTTGTTATATATAAATAAAGTTTTTAAAAAATTATGTAATTAAAATTTATAATAAATTGTACATTATATAAATAAATGTTATATTTTAAAATATAAATTATATTAATTTAAAATTTATATAAATAAATATTTTAAATATATAAATTATATTTTCTATAAATAAAATAATTTACATTATACTATTAAATTATTGATATTTTTTTTATTAAATTTAAATTTTAAAAATGATAATAAATATGAATTGAAAATTGAAATAAATAAAAGGTTTAAAAGTGATTTTAATAGATATTTGTACTAATATATATATATATATATATATATATAAAATTTTAAACTATATCGAATTAATTTAATTTTCAAATTATTACTTAATTTTTTTTTTTAAATTACTTGACTAATATATATTTTTTTAATTTAGTACCCGACATTAATTTTCTTAGTTAAATAATGACGTGACAAACGAATTGTCACCTCATCACTCAACAACATATGTCAAGTCAGCACACATTCATTCTTCACGTAATTTTAAAAATTAATTTTCCAAACCCCCATCATTCTCCTTCGCAGCCGCGCAGCGCCTCCTCCAGTCGCGGCAGCGCCATGCTCAAAGTCCCGCTGCGCTTGTCGACCTCTTCAAGAGCAACGCTGAAGCCACCGCACAGGACCTCCTTCGCCGCAGCCAGCGTCTCCTGATTTTCCTCTTCGTAAAGCTCCGCAGCCAGCGCCCACCCCCGACGAGTAAAGATCTCGCTGCAAGAGGGGAGGCGCATGCGGATGCATCACGTGGTGATGATGATGATGCTGCTGCTGGTTCCATAGCTCAAGCCCTCAGTAGGATGATGCGTCGTCGTTTTTGCTGTACCAGAATAGGGTCTCCGCTTGTGGAATCTCGCTGCCTTGGTTTTTGTCTGGTTGGTTGCTGCTACCTCGTCCTCCGCCTAATGGGAACAACCTCGCCATCGCTTTGGACCTGGCCCGGGCTTCAATTGTGGCCCAAAATCCATATCAGAAAACTCGATCGCTGTGGATAGTAGGATATTGAGAAAAATAAAAAGAGAAGAAGAAACAACCAAGCATATAAAAATAATAATAATAACCAAAGAGAGAAAATTACTGTAACTAACGGTTGCATAAAAACTTGATCCCCGTGGAATCTCGCTGCTTTGGTTGTTGTCTTGTTGGTCGCTGCCTGTGGAGCTTCACAAAGAGGAAAATCAGGAGGCCCTGCGAGGTGGCTTTGGCGTTGCTCTCGAGGAGGTCGGCAACTGCCCGTGGCTGCGGAGGAGAATAAGGGGAGTTTGGGAAAACTAATTTTTAACTTTTTTAAATATGACATGGCAATTTACGTGGAGAATGAGGTGGCCATGTGTGCTAACTTGGCATATACTGTTGGGTGATGATGTGGCAATCCGTTTCTCATATTATCATTTAACAGAGAAAATTAACGTCAGATACTAATTTGAAAAAAAAAAATCAAGTAATTTAAATAAAAAAATATTCAAAAAGTAGTAATTTGAAAATCGAGCTAATTCAAGGTAGTTTCTATATATATATAGGATAGATTATTTGAGTAAGTGTACCATTTTTAACTATATTTTCTTTTAAAAAAATCAATCGGCACGTTATATTAACTAACTAGAAATTAGATCATTAGGATTAGCCTACTAATTGGGTGGGGAGGGGTTGAGGTAGTTAAAAGACCTATGTTCAATTCTCATTACGACCATTTTTATAATCTTTCCTATCTTTACAAAAAAAAAAAAAACCAGAAATTAACTTCAAAAGTTCAAATAAAAAAAAAGAAAGTAATTTCAAGATAAATATAAATTAGTAATGTAAAATTAGTTATCTATTTCAAGATTAACTAAATTAGTAAGTTTTTAAATTCAAAATTACAAAGATTTAATTTTTTCAAAGTTAGAGAGTACGTTTTAAAGAATAAAATACAATCATAATTATTAATTATAAAATTAATGATTAAAACTTGTAATAAAATTAATGTTTTATAAAATAAAATTTAAAGTTAGATATAATATCAATTATTAATTTTTTAATTAATAATTATTATTGCACTTTATTCTAAGGAGATATATTGGATTGAAATTTGAAAGAATATTTTAACATGAAAAAATCTTGTAAATTTTAATAGATTTTAAAAGATTTTGAAGGAATGTGATGACTTTTAATTTTTTTTAAAGGACTTTTAAAACATGAATTTTAATCAAGACTTCATAGTTCAAATTTTAATGGATTTATATCATAAAATTTTAAAGGATTTTACAAATTTTACATGAAAACATGAATTTGTAAAATACAATTAATACTACAAAAATTAATAAAAAAAATATAACATAAATAATAAAAAAATAAAATCAATACAATTTTTTCTATCTTTTGACAAATAATAGACTTTATTGCCTTTCTAGCTATCATTTATTCACATATTTAAAGTTATACTAGCCGACTCTACATTGACATATTTCTTCTCGTGCTCAAGTATAATACGTTCAAAATTATGGTCTTCATTAACTGTTAATATTAAAGACGAAGAAAGTTATGTAACGCTACATATGTTAATACAAGTTCAATTTGTGTCTTAAATAAAATTTGAAGCATTGACTTAAAAATTGTGAATCATAATTTAAAAATATTAATTATTCTCTCAATCACATTTCTTAAAGACGTATATCGTAAATTGAACATTTTATTTTTATTTTGAGGATCATTAACATGACGTGTAAAATCGTGGAGATGATAAATGAGAGAGGTGAATAAAAAAAGAAATAGGAAATGAGATGGAGAATTAAAGGAGAGAAAGAAGAAATTAAGATAGGAAGAGAAGAGGAGAGAGACAAGAAAAGTGTGAGAGAAAAAAAAAAAAGAATACAAGATAAGAAAGCAAGAGATGATAAAGAGAGAGAAACAAGAAAGGTGAAATAGAACATTCAAAGAAATAGTAAAAATAAAAGGAAAATAAAATATACAAAATATCATGTTTTGATGAGATTGTTATATGAGTGAAATATAAATTATACTAAAAAATCTCACAAAATCTATTATTAAAATAATCCATTGAAATTTCAATTTTTTTTAATATCAATAGACTTTTTTTAACTAAAAAAAACTTAATTGAATACCACTAAATTTTGACTAAATATTAAAATAATCATGATTGTCTTGATTGGATACTACAAATTTTTGATGTGTTTATAAAAAAATCATGATTGTCTTAATTTGATATCACAAAATATTTTTATATTAAAAAAAGTCACGATTAAATATCATAAAACTTTTTTATAATAAAAAAATCTCTTAAAATTCATTAAAATTATAATCTAATAAATATTTTTAAAAAATTAATATTAAATTTGAGAGACTAAAAATATATTTATATTTTAAATGATAATATAACTTTAAAAACTAAAATGTTTTTAACTTCTAAAATTTAAAGTAAATTTATTTTTAGTCTCTCAAATTTAAGTTTAATTTTTTTAATCTTTTAAATTTAAATTTTTTTAATTATAATCCTTAAATTCAAATTTTGTTGAAAAATGCCTAATATTATATAAATACTATTATACAAAATTTATCTACTAATATCTCAATAAAAATATCACATTAAATCTAAATAATAATACATAATTGTTTGAATGTATCACTTTTTCAAATATATCATCAAATAATGCAAGAAATTAAAATAAAATTTTAAAAATTACGTAAACTAAAAATAATAATCATAAATTTGATCAACTAAAAACAAAATCACTTTAAATTAAATTTAATTAAAATAAAAATTATGAAGCAAATGGAGAAGCAGACCATATGAAATCAATAAATCCAACCTGGTATGGTAGAACACAACTGGGTTAGGGCACAACGCAGAAAACCCTAACAATCGAATTCGTTTGCAGAAAAACCATGGCGGGTGAGGGGGACACAGCGAAGAAGAGGGTGGTGACGGAATCCCTGGGATGGCTAACGGAATCCTCGATAATGCCCAAGAAGCACCGCGCCATCGCCGGCGTCGGAGCATCCTCACTCCTCGAATTGAAGGCCGAACTCTACAAGTCTCAGGAAGATTCCAAAAAATCAAGAGAATTATCAGGCCCCGACGTCGAGTACCAACGCGCCAAGAACAAAATCGCCACCAAAGACACCTTCTCCGCCAAAAACCGCGGCGTCGATGCACGCGCTCACAAGTATAGTATCATTATTACCCTCTCTTCATGTTTTTATTATCTCTGTTAACTCGTGTTTGGATAAACTTTTTCATTTCTACAATTGGAAGGAGGAATGAAATAATTTCTTTTTATTAGCGGGTTGTTGATTATTTGAATGATTTTTGGTGTCAGGGACAAGCTTGAGTTGAAAGCGGTGAGTGATGGATCGGCCAGCTATGCGGCGCTGGAGAGGAAGGCTGAGTTGTATGATAAGTTGGTGAAGGGAGAGTTGTCGGATGAAGAGGATCAAGAGAAGTATTGTGTGGACTTTTTCCGCAAGGGAATTGAGCATGATGAGTTGCCGCCTCCACCGCCACTGCCGCCGCCGTCGATGAGGGATGTGTTGAGGGAAAATGAAGATGGTGGTGGTGGTAATGATGATGGTGATGATTCTTTGATGTTTAGCTTGAAGCCTGTTGGGCCTGGGAGAGTGGCTGGAGCGGTTGACAGTGCTGAGCATAAGCGCAATATTAGGTATGGGGTTTATGTTTTGGTGTTGCACATTTGTTATGTGATGAAAAGGCAATGTTTTTATGCTAGATAGTTTGGATGACTTCAATGTGAAGTTCCTAAGTCCTAAGATAATAGTGGGAGTTAGAATTTGGGGTGTGGAAGTTAAATCATTGCTAGCAGTTCTTAATAATCTCTGATGTTCGTATGGGTTTGGTTATATGGTACGTCACTTGGACAACAGAACAGGACAAGTATTCTGTACGGTTTACGTGAGGGATATTATTTAGTTGGTAGGCTATGGGTTTGGCTCATGGGTTTCTGTTTCTTGGATTCTCGCATCCATCAAAGCTAGATCAAGTAAACTACAACAGTGCTATTAAGAAATTGAATATTTATCATTACTGTCGAGGTTTTAAATTGCGTTTCTTGATATTGTGGGAAATTGCTGACTAATGCAGTCACGAACAACTGAAAAATCTTAATGTTATGACCAAAATTGTGATTACGAAAACTTGGTTACCATTCACAATCATCATTGTCAACATTTGCATAGTGCAAATGGGTGTTCCTAGTAGGCATCCATTCCTTGCTCTTTCCCTTCCTCCAAAATCCAGATAGTTCTACACACTCATTCTCTGTCTCTTATGCTGTCTTTGTTGAATCCAAGATTCATCAACTACCCATGTCATTGCTAACTTTGATGCACCGCCATGATATAATAGTGTGTGTTTTAGTAGCAGCCATTGTTTGCAGGCTATAGTGTTGCTACCATGGTATAGCCTTCAAAAACCCGTTTTTTACCCCCTGGAACACTGTTGGTTGGGGATTTTTGGTAAAATATTCAACTAAAAGTCACCTATGTCTTGACCCTTTTTTCTATGCACTTTATAAGAGTTCTCTTTTCCTATGTTCTGTTCGTTCTTCTTCCTTTAGACTTCCCAGATCACATTATGCTAATTTTATCTAATTTCTTGTGTTATTTTTCTGGTAATTTCACCATCATTCATTTTTTGACTTCATTACTATGTTCTTATTGGTCCTAGATTGATGGTGATGTGTAAACTGTGTCTGTGACCTATTGTTTATCATGAATTTCTTGAACTTGGGTATTTTGTTTTGCTCTTTGAGTATTATAACATTTCAAATAGTGGTCATCTTGCATTCTACTATTGTGTTTTCAAAGTTGGTCGTTACATGTGGCTAACTGAGATTGATAACTATACTCATTAACCAAATCATGGTTCTCTGGGTAAACCAACAAATTATGTTTCTGTGTGAAACTAAGTTATTTTATGCTAGCTGGTTGAGTATTTATGGTAAAATTTCTCTGCAGGCTTGTTGATTGTGTGTTTGGATCAGATTCAATTTTCCCAGAATCAATTACAACTACATGTTGAAAGCCAAACAACAAATAATTACTTTCACTTTTTAAATTTTTTTACCATGATTTTGGGATATACAATTGATTCAGATAGCTACCGAAATCAGTTTGCCATTCAACAATTATATAATCATCTCAAGCAGAAATTGTACTGTTTGAGATTTTTTTTTTTTTTTTTCTGGCTTGGGAGTTGTCGACTGTCTGATGGTTCAGGTTTAATTATTGGATTAACTATATTAAAGTGACAATATTATAATTATAATTTAGTGTTATAGTATGTTAGTACATTACTAGAAGTGTAAGTATCATCAATTCCTGATAGGTTTACCTTCTGAATAGAGTAGGAAATGGCCCATTTGTCTTTTTCAGATAGACAGAGGAGCTACTAAGGATGTCTACATTTTATTGTTTTGTGGGCAAGGGAGATGTTGACTTTTGCTGTGTTTTAATATTTACATGATTTTTCTGGGTTAATTATCTCATTATTATTGAGAGTCTTTGGCTGATCTAAACCTCATTGGTTTTGATTTTTAGGGAAGTTCATGAAGAAGCTAATCGAGCAAGAGATAAGGCTTCTGAAATTAAACTTCGAAGGCAGGAGCAGTTGGCTGCTCATCGTGAGAAGCTTAAACAAGCATATCTTAGAAAGAAGCTGGAACAAGCATATCGTCAGAAAGACGCTGGAGCAACTGATCACATCTGATGAATCTGGATCTGAGGATAAACAATCATGACCACAGCACCAATTGGTATGCATAACTTACGAAGGTTAGTGTTGGTGAAAAACCAATACTTCATTAAAGAAAGGCATTAGGAGTTGAAACCTGGCCAAAAAATTGTGTCATTATTCACTAAAGCTGCAGCATTGCATTGGTATATTGGACTGCTTATAATGCAAAACAACGGCCTCAAAATATGACGCAAAAAGAAAATAAAAGACGGAGACAAAAGAAACAACATTGTTTTTCTGTTGTAAATATGTAATTTGACATTGCTGATTACATCAGATATTGACCTGGGCTTTAGAAAAAACACTGTTGGCCAAAAAATATGATATTGACAAAGTATGGGCAACAACTGAGCATAAAAACAATTACTCTGACTTGTTTTCACCCCTTCATTGGGACACTGTACTCCTTTTCTCTTCGATCTTTCCTTAGCCGTGAGATTCAGCTACAACAGCCACAGAAAAATAATTATTTGTTCTCCATGTAATATTATAATAAGGGTTTCTTAAACCAAACCCAATGATGTCATGTGATATATGTAGCTGATTTCATTTAGTAGGATGGTATTTTTGTTCTTCATATGACATCAATTTTCAAGCGGAAGTTCTTAATGTATCAATTAAAAACTGACTATTTCAAGAAATATAGCCATAATGACCTAAATATAGAAGTTGTAATTGCTTTAAAGATTTGATCACATTGTCTTCATGGAGTTGTGTTCGAGGTTCATAGAGATGATAAGATTTTACAATATTTGTTTAAGCAAAAGGAATTAAACACGATGCAGCTGTTGGATTGAATTTTTAAATTGTTTTGATATTACAATTGAATGCCATCCTAGGAAGGGAAATAAGATAGTAGATGTTTCAAGTAATAAATCACTTCACATGTCTTCTATGATGGAGAAAAATTCATTTTTGATTAAGCAGTTTAGGGATTTAATATTTGCAAGTTAACTTGAATGATTGATATGTGGGGAGTTATTTTACAGAGCTAACAATAGAAATACATGCGAGAGGATTTTTCCACCATTTTGAAAAGGACAAGGAGTATCTACCAGTGAAAGCAAAGTTATCTAAGACCAAGATTGCACCTTCATAAAATCCAATCCATTGTCTCGGTACAAACAAAAGGGTCTTGAGACAAAATAATTGTTATGCAACAACCACCTGGACCATGTCCATTGCATGCCAAATTAAAGACCAAACCTTTCTTCCTTTTTTGCCTCCAATCATCTCGCTATGTTGAGTAAAGTGTTCCATGCTAGTATGTGTTAGAACAACATCAAAACCAACCCATCCATATACATATTTGTAGACCCACATAGATACTGGACAATTGAAAAACAAATGATTGATGTCTTCTTGTTGTTCTTCACAATGTGAGACTTGCATCATTATTCAACAAAGTTTTCTATGTTGACAATCTATTCAACTACAGCCTTCAAGAAAAAGCCTTCACTTTATTTGGCATTGGACATCTCTACTACTTTTTGAATTGTGGTGGATTATCGGTGTAAATTTGTAGAGATTGCACCTGATTAACAATAAGATTTCTCGGGTAGTTGCCATATGCATTTACCATTAATTACTAGAATTTACTTATAACAGTATTTTTATTCCAATATAGACATGGCCCCTTATAACAATACTTTGTTTGTAAATTTGATGGAATTCATGGAATTTTATTTTGCTTCACCTAATAAGAAGCAATTTGAGTCACGAAAAAAGAAAAATTGCTTTGGTAATGGGGTATGGATGGGGAAGTTAAGCACATAATTATTGAAAGTTGTTTGTTTCAAGTTATCTAATTTCATTTCCGAAATACCTTTAAAACGTGTTTAATTCACAATACCTTTATTATTGTATACAATATTTTTTTTATTATAATACATAAAAATAAAAATAAAAATAAACTATTATTATAACTACATTGTAAATAATTATTAAATTACCCGAATTGGACACTTCATTGTGTAAGCCGGAAATCAGCCATATGTATCAATTGAAAGTTGATCTAAAATTGAAACTTGATATGATGTTGTTCCTGACAGAGCCTTTGGGCCATTGTTTTCTGTTTACGTACCTTGAAGACCCTTTGAAGTTTGAAGCATATGCATGCAAACAAAAAACACATGCGAGTGTTTTCTAAGTTATAACAGATACAGAGAGACAGAGCAAGGGTAGTCGTGTAGTGGCCTAGTGGGTGGTAACTAATACGGGTATTTTTGAATTTTTTACTCAATGTAGTGGATTCCCACCACATGGAAATCATCTTTCCCACCCTATTCTCCCATGAATAAAATTTGGTTTTTTTATAAAAAAAAAGGAAGAAAAAAAAAAAGAAGAGTTGCAACTTGCAACATCATGACTTTTCAAGAGATCATTCATTCTAGTGCTACTTTCCTCTAAATACTTTTAATTACGGAGTTCTAATAGATTTCTATGCATTAGAAGTGATATGATTGCACATATATGAGAATATTGTTTCCTAGGAGTGGAACAATTATTATTATTTCCCAGGTACGAGAATAAAATTTGGTTGAACGTTAAAATATTGTTTCTCAGAGATGAAATATGCCTTGGAATTATTATTTTATTCCTTATACTTCCTTCGACTCTTATTATAAGACATGTCTTTTATAAGGTATTTTATAATTTTTAAAAATATTAAATTATTTTTTCTTTGCTTGTCCTTATTAAAAGACTGTGAAAGTGTATTTTTTTCTCAATTCTCAAACTCTCTTTAATTAATATTTATCATTTTTGTTAGTATTAATGTATAAGTTTTAATATGAAGATAATATCTTCGACTCATAAAAATTTAATGATAAAAAGGGGATGAAATTGATAAATCATAGTTTTATTTTTTAAATTCAATAAATTCAACAAATTCAACTAATACAATTAGTCATATTGGTTGATTAATTCAATCAAAAGTGCCTTGTAATAAAAATATGAGAAAATAATAAACATGAAATTATTTTTTTCCAATCTCTTTTTTCCAAGAAAAATTTTATCCCAAAAATATATAAAGATAACTTGAAAAAAAAAACCGCCTGCTCTTGCTAACAAATGTCATTTCATGTTTATAAGGAAAATGAGATCATTTGATTGACTTGAGGTGGCTGCAGCCGTAGGACATGCCAGCATTTTTATTTTCTTGACATTCTAGTTTTGTGTCCTATTTTCAATATTGTTTCCATTTTCCATGTTTATAATACCAAAAATGATACTTCTTCTAAAATTAACCAACCGAGAATTTCTCTGAACGTTTAAAAATTTAAATTATTAAAATTAAAAAATATTTATCTAAAATTATTGACATGTGTAAATTGTTGAATGGTTCAAAAGATGGGTCGGATTTTTCTTTCAAAACATATATAGCATTTCTCTTGTAATTCAGGAAATGGACCTTGCTCCTACTTGGTGATTTTCCCTCTAATTTTCACTATGAAATTCACAACCTATCACATATTCACATTCGAAAACTTATTGGTGCTTTAACAGAATCTGGTCATCATGGTTTAATAAGGTATGATGGCACCATTAAGTTGTGCTGCTTTAACAAAATTCATTTTTCAAATCTTCATAACATTTATAAATGATGATCTGCATTTCAATTTTACTACAGCTTGAAATGGATGTCTCTCACGAATGATATAGCAAAGGGGTATAAAAAGTAAATTATTTCATTAATTAAATATTAAATAATTAATATCATATTTGATATGATATATAATTAATTTTGTCTTCATCTCATTTTATACTTTTTATACAAATGGGTTTTGAATATCTCAAATTAAAGAAGAAAATAAACATAGTTCCTCTTACAAAATACTTTCTTCAAACAAAATGCTTTGAGGAGAATCATAATTCTCAGCACCCAATTTTTTTTAAAAAATAAATGTCATATAGTAATAAATTAAATTTTAACTCTTCAAGAGTAAACTCTGATTAATGTTTACAGATATTTCTTTTCCAAATTTAAGAGATTGGTGATGGATCTAACTAAGAACAAAAGAGGCATTGAATTGTTCCTGAACTTGTTTTTTCATAATTAGTTCCACTAGTCACCTCAGTCAAGAAATCAACGGCGAAATGCTGATGAATGGATATGTGGATAAAATGAATAATAAATAAATAATTTAAATAGATACTTATATATATTAAATAAATATTTTTATCTATTTATAAATATAATGGTAATGGATATGATAATATTCATATTTCTATATATTGATTAAGTAAAATTATTTAAATATTTATCTTGAATTTTTTTATATTATTTTTAATATTTTAAAAATTAACATTAAATGCATATTTAAAAATTAGTGTAAATTTTTTTATCGTCAATATTTTAATATAATTAATGTCAAATACATGCATCAATTTATTTATAATACTTTTTAATTTTTTTTAAAACTTACACATATTCATAAATATCTATAAATATATTCACAAATATTTATAAAAATTTTAAATAATCATTTAACATATACTCACACAAATATAAGACAATTTTTTATCCTACAAAACAAAGACGAGTAAGTAATGGTCATCAAGACCCCATTGGCCATCCTACTTATAAGCAGTAAGTAATAGTGATCCACCTTTTCACTTCCATTGGCTGGTGAAGTGATAAAGGTTTGGAAATGCTGTACTCTCACTCACATGCTGTGTCTCATCTCAATTATCTCTCAAGAAGCTTCAAGGAAATGGAACCTTTTAGTGAACAAGTCTAATACATTCACAGTGAATGTCAAATTACATTAACACCCTTTAATATCCAATCTAATTACTCATGCTATTTTCCTTTATTTATCCTATTATTAGACAAATTTCACTCGATTTATATAATAAGATATTCCTTGTTTAATCTCACAAACATCCTCTGATTTCTTATATGGTTTAATTACTCATTCTTGTAGTATACAAATTTTATCTTTCAGTTTCCATTTTTAAAATATTATTTATTTTAATTCTTATACAAACACTTTCGATATTTTTTTTCGGCCTTTGCCGTTAAAATAAATAAAAAATTAATAATTTCTTTCTTAAAACTTAACTTTTCTTTAATCTAAATAGTTAAAATAATTAATTCAAATTATATTTCCCTTTTCTCAAATAATAATGATAAAAAACAATTATATATATATATATATAATAAAATTTATTATAACCAACTCAATAATTATAAAATAAATAATAAATACATAATATTATTAATGAAAGAATTTAGGGTGCTACAATTTTCTTCTTCTTTTTGGAATTTTGTCACCGAAACTACCTCAAACAAATAAACAAGGATATACTTCTTGTTCTCGCATCTAACTCTTCAACTCCCAAGTAACACTTTTTTCAGTATTTCCTACCCAAGCTACTTTAACTGAAGGAATTTTCTTACCTATTAGTTGTTTCACTCTCTTGTCTTCAATCTTCAAAGGAACACTTTCATTGATGAAGTTATCTTTCAACTGAATGTTGTCAAAAAGTAAGATCATACATATATTTTCTAAGTTGGGAAACATGGACGACATTACGCAAGTTTGAAAGAGACGATAGAAAAGTTATTTGATAGGCTATGTCACCAATTTTCTTAAGGATTTGGTAAGGATTAGTGAAATGTGGAGTAAGTTTGCGAGACTTAAATGCTCTACCAAC